CGAATGGCGAATTCGGAAATAATCGCTTTAGTACATTCGGCAGGCAATTATACAATAATAATATTAATAAATAATATTAATAGCGGGCCAAATCGGCTGCCAGGCCACTGGGAATTGTCCCGGTTCTCCCGATGGCCCGTCCGTGCCTGATTTCCACAGACACGTAGAACGTGCAGGATTCATATATTGTCTTTTTGCTGCTTAATATTCACAGACACTAGTCCATATCGCGTTTTGATTCAAGTGTACTGACCTACTTTTGATTTGTTCGTCCAAAATGTGGCATATTCCGTCGGCGTTAGGCTATAGAAATTCCGTTTTTATGACTGGATTCTATGAACCAGTCTGTTTTTCCGCATCGCGTAAATTATAGAGCCGTATGTCTCATAGAGTAGTCAGTGCAATTTGGGAAAGAAATCAATTAAATCTGTATGTGGATGTGTGTAAATATTCAAATGTAATCCCCTTTGTAATCGTTAACATTTTCATAAGTAACTGTAATTTAATTACACATTTTTTCTTAGTAACTGTAACTGATTACAGTTACATTTATTTTGTAATTAAATTACGTAACGCCGTTACATGTAACTAGTTACTCCCCAACACAGTGTGTGTGTGCACCCGTGTGTGTTTGTGTGTGTGTGTGTGTATGTGTGTGTGTGCGCACACACTTGGATGGGTGAAATGCAGAGCACAAATTCCGAGCATGGGACACCATAGTCAGTCACTTTTCTGATGCGTGTTGCCTCTCAAGTAAATGTGTCTTGAATTTTTCTAGAATTTTTAGACATTTCAACTGGAAAACACTGCAGTTATTTTTTTGCAGATGCTTTCACAAATAAAAATAATAAAGTGAGAAAAGCTTCTAGTGCATTAAGACTAAACACGGTCTTTTTAAAAACACAATCAATGAAAACAAGACTAAATATCTGATGCCGAAATGCTTCTCAACATGTATCTTGTTCCGGGAATGTTTGGACATTTTAAATGAAAAACAAAGCCAAAAGTATAATTACAAATAATTAACAAGTCATTTTTTGCCAATATTTTCACTTGTTGCATCAATGCATCTCATCTTTTTAGACATTTTAACTGAAAAACACATAAAAAGACGAATTAAAAACCAATTAAAAAGACGTTTTTTGCAGTGTAAACGTATATGTGAGTTTGAAACGACATGTGATCTCAGAGGGTTTGTTTGTCGGTGATGGAAGCCTTTAACCCTGACGAGAGGCTGATATTCTTCAGTCTGAACGAGCACGCTCTTCACGGACTCAGCGTCGAGTTCAGTGCCTCGCATCCTGACATTTACAAAGAGAGTCAAACACGGCTGCTCCTTCTGAGGACTAAAGCAGCGGCTCTTCACACGCTTCTGAGCATCTGAAAGGTTACTGATGTCTCTTAGCTCTAACGGCCCACAATGCACTGCACTTTATCCGTTCACAGCAGAAGCACACACTCATGAGTCCTGAGAGAGTGAGAGCGGACCGACGGCTGATGTTTCTGACTTTATACCTCACCTTTCTTCAGACTGATCAACTCTGATGCTCTGATGACATTATCAGCGGCGTTCATATTAATAAACAGAAAGAATCAATGATGGAAACTCAACTATTTATCAGTTCAATATCAGCTGTACAGAAGCTCTAAAAGAATACAGTGTCATCATTCAGATCAAGTCAGCTCAGTGTTGATTCAGAATCATATTTTAATCGTGATCATGATATCTTGATTCATTAAACATAATCGTGCGCTGGTTATTTATCCTGAAAATGTTAGTAACTGATTAAATGTCATCTGTAATACATAATCAGATTCCACAACTTTAGTACTTGTAATTAGATCGTATTATGTTTTTTTATGGATTGCATGACTACAAAAAAACACAATGGCAATAAATTATTCATAATTGATTGATTGATTCTCCAGATTTCGGTTAATGATCAGATTGACATGCGGGTAAACAAATTAAATATTTCAAATGTGGGTGTTCTAGTTATTTTGTCTTTATTATTACAATTTATAATTTTTTTTATGAATTACTAGCTTTTCATCAACTCATAAACCCCCTGCAGTTCTTTCATTTACCCCAGTTTGGGAAACCCTGGAGTAATTTAATGTTTAATGCATTTCATGACGTCGATAATGAAGAATCAAATAGTTCTTATTTCTCTTTTTTATAGCAATAATCCCATTCAAATCTATAAACACGTTAGGTCAAAAGTAGTCAGAATACATTACCTAGAGTGAGTAATCTAGATTACATTACTAACTACAACTTTCACCATGTAATTTGTAACCAGTAACAGACTACAATCTGTAAGTAATCCACCCAGCACTGGTTAACATGCGTTGGTAATTAGGTGTGGTTGCCAGATGCTAAGAGATTAAATCCTCCAAATCAGCGCTTTTCTTTTAAATCGATTTTCTGCCCAGGGTTTTACTCAGTGCTGGTCTTAGACATCTAGGGGCCCAAAACACACCATTATCAGGGGCCCTTGTCGGCACATTCATAAAAACCCTAACATTTTTAACCCCAAAAATGATTAACTATATGACAGAGGCAGCAGGGTATTAGGCTGCTGTCACTTTAAGACCGAATGCACAGATGTAGCCTAATACACTGACAAGCATTTGATTACTTCCCCAACTGTTTATCTTCACTTAAGACAAAACTGACTATGTGACATGACATTTTGACATATTTTTGTGTGTATTTGAGCATTTAAGTGCATGACCGAAGCCCAAAGTAGCCGATACTCATCCGTGTTTCGCTCCGTCTCGGATCACATGCACAGAAAGCCATCTGAGGAATATCTTATTTCTAAAACATCTTATTTTGGTTCATTTTTGGCCTCGTTTTAGTTTGTTTTTCGTAGCAACACTGCATCGCTGGCACTTAAACAGAAAGTAATAAAAAAGCCCATAGAGAGCAACAGCAGCTAGACCACCTTAGTTTTAACATAAGAACAGCCTTTGCAAGAAATTTGTTTGTTTTATTTATTTTTTTTCATTTGTAACTTGAATGCTTCCAGTATTCGCTTGCAGTTATTTTACTAAGTCTGTTATGCTTTTTTTTGCAAACTGCTATTTGTTTTCATATTATTTAACATAAACACATTGGGTTGAAGTGCAAATAGCTGCACCGTTTACTGCTCTTTGTTATTCTCCATTTATCTATTTTTCCTGAAGCTCAAACAGTGAAGCAGGCGCTTGCAACACAAGGGTCATGGGGTCGATTCCTAGGAAATGCATGAACTGATGAAAATGTAAATGTGCACTTTAAATGCAGTGTAAGTCGCTTTGGATAAAAGCATCTGCCAGATGCATGAATATATAAAATGTTTGAAGCAAACATTTCAGTCCATCTCAGACTATCTTCAGTGCTTAATCTTCTTCAGTAACTTGACTTTTTTGCGACTTTTTGGTAGTGCAATTTTGTTTCTAGCTGTAATTTTATATGAAAATCTTCAGTAAAATAATTTGAATAAACA